GCTCCTGGAGCGCCCAACCCGCGCGGACCGCTTGCACACTCTCTCGCGGTCGTAGGGCGCTCCGACGCGGCATCACCTCTGGACTCTGCGCTCTCTTCGTGCCTCGCTCCGCAGCCGCGTCCATGTAGTCACTGGGGATGTCCTTCTTCGTGTTCTCGACCTCCGTGTTGTCCTTGTGAACCTCCGTTTGAATGCCCACGAAAGCTCCTGGGTCCGCATCCGCCTCCACGTCGTAGTCGCCGAGCTCCGCAGCCGCGTCCATGTAGTCCTTGGGGATGTCCTGCTTCGTGTTCTCCACCTCTGTGTTGTCCTCCTGAACCTCCATTTGAATGTCGACGAAGACTGCTTTTGTCTTGTACGGCCCGCGCGCCCCTCGCCGGGGGCGGCTTGGATCCTTGCGGCGCATTGCCCGCTGCATACGCAGCCGTAGCTCGGCGGCGATGCCGCTGTCCACGCTTTGGATGCGGCCAAGTGCCGCCGCAGCCTTGTCGGGACTCAGCTGGAGGAGTAGATGTGTCAACCGGCCTTGTCCGAAGAGGTGCACTTCGGGCAGATCCGGCAGATTGCAAAGGTCACACAGGCCTGCTGGGCCTGCTGCGGCGGGCCCGCCGCCTGGGCCCATGTCGCAAGCCTCGTCCACACCGACGCAGTCTCCGAAGCCGTAGTGCGGAGCCCACTGCTGGAAATTGCGGCGGCTTCGTCTGCCAGATTCCACGGAGGTAGCAGATGTATGAGAAGATGTTTCCTGCGACGAAGGAGGCGTGCGCTCCTTCTCCCGGTCGGACTCCGAGTCGATCTCGATAACCTCATCCACTGGTGTCGCGGACATGACGTTGCAAAAGAGGCCAACGATAATGCTACTGCACGAGCTGTAAGCCAGGGAGACTCGCAACACACAGACCGTCCGATGATGCAGATATCAAAATCCGTGAAGTTCATGCATGTCTTTACTAGGCCTCGGCGACACGACTCCATCAAGTATGTGCAATGCAAGCCTCTGTTGTTTTTCTGCTCGGGCTGGCCGTCAACTGCTGTTTACTGCTGTACTTATATGCCGTGCTCGACTCGACTCCCGGTCAAAACTGTCCTAGTGCGGTCTGTTTTGAGATGGCGGAGCCACGAGACTGCCTGATGCGACGCACATAATGCTTGTGCGACCGTCGTCTCAGGAACCTTTCTGTGCGTTGCACATGCTCTCCTTCAGTTCTGTGCTACCAATGAATGAGAAAACTTGTACGGGAGGCAAGCCTTTCAACAGCAACTCAGCGGGGGGGTCACCATGTTTCGGCAGCAGCGAGGTGAAGTGACAAGGCGCGTACTTCAGGATTATCATTCTGCTCGTCGCCAATGTCGCTGTCGCGCCAGCCCACACGCGGGTGATGTTCTCCCCGGGGATGACGAGGCACGCGATCATGGACTCGTCGTCCTCCACGACTTTCGCGAGGTAGTCGTCAAACAACATCTGCCCCGGCTTCGCCTCGTTCTTGGCGACTGCGTTTTTGAGGTGCTCCGGGAGCGCCTCCATCCAAAGCGCTGCGCGCTTGTGCACGGCCGTTCTGGTGCCCTCGAGTCCTTCGAGGCTGCGTGCCACCGCCAGCGGCAAGCAGCAGTTCTTGAATTGGACGTCCTCCACGACCAGGAGCTGTCCCTCGTCGACCTCTTGGAAGTGCTCCTTCAGGGCGGAGTTGATCTTGCCGTAGGTCTCCTGCTCTTTCTCTGTGTGGGCGACGCTTGCCTCCGGCTTCTTCTTCGTCAAAACGCCGAAACCTGCCCTCGAGCTGCTGCTGGAAACGCTCTTCCTGGTCTTGCGGGACTTGCCGTGTCTCTTCTTGGCTTTGCCTGACGTCTTCGAGGATGAGGAGGAAATCTTCTTCCGTGCGCTCTTCATCTTCTCCAGGAAGTTGCCTCCAAATGGCGGCTTCTTGTTGCCGCCGCTGCTGCCGTCCGAATCGGCGTCGTCTGCGCCAAAGCGCCGCTTCTCCTTGGAGCCGCCCCAGTAGAAAAGACTTCTAAGGGACTGTGCCAGTCCCTCGCAGAGACTCTCGTCGGATGGCTCGGCCACCCAGCGACGGACCCCGGGCGACTGCTTCTCCAGGTCCGGGACCGTCTTGCTCCAAGCTTTCTGTTTGTTGATCATGGCGCGGACCTCGCACGCCGCAATCGCGAAGGCAAACAGCCGCGAAGCGCCGTCGGCCAGTTTGGCCAGCGCCTTGCCGAAGTCGTCCGAGTTGTCCTCCGGGCCCGCCAAGATGCGGAACAGTTTCCCGATGTCCTCGGCCAAGTTGGACTTGTCATGCTTGTAGTCCTTCTGCGCTTTCTTCAAGAGCTCCTCCAAGTCGCCGTGCTTGCCGACGAAGTCGAGCAGCGTCTGCAGGCCCAGCTGCGGCGCCATGTCCTCGCCGAGGTTGAGGACCTCGAGTCCCGCAGACATAGAAGCTGCCGCGAGATTGAGGCCCATGCCGGGCCTGCGGATGAGCTCGGAGGAGTCCGGGTCCAGCTTCTCGCGAAGATTCTGGGGTGCGAGTGCCTTCTTCACACTTTTTCCGCCAGTCTTGATCATGCACCCGGACTCGTCCGGAAACGCACGCATCAGCGCCTTGGTGGCTAGATTCCATTCCTTCACCGCCGTGACACGCTTCCCGGTCTTGGGCCTGTCGTCGCCTTTCTTCTCCTTCTTGTCGAACTTGGATCCAAACGCCATGGTTTTTGGGACAAAGGCTGCGGATGGCGAGGGTTCTTCGAGATGTAGACCTCGCTCGAGATGCGATGCCGCGACAGAGAGATATGACTTGAAAGGAAATGCAGGGACAGGCGTGCGCGGTGTGACTGCCAAACTTCTGCTGCGCTGCGTCAGCTAAGCTAGCACTGCTGGCACGCTATTGCTTTTTTTCTTCAGCGCGCCGGGACGAAATGCTCCCGGTCAAGAAATCCCCCTAAGACATACTGGCTGTCGTACTGGACTCTACTCATGGCGACATATGCGCCGGCACGGAAGTGCTTCACGTTGAGCCACACGCAGATATTGTCCAGCTCGGCCCCTGGCCTCACCGGCCAGAAAGTCAGGCGCCTGCCGCCTGTCACGTCTTCCGTGAAGGGAAACACTGCCAACTGCCGCTGGGTCGCGGTCAGGACGTGGAGGCAGCCGGAGTCCCGATCATAGCTCTTGATTGTGGCCTGCATGCCGTTGACGAAATCGTTCTTCTTGTTCACGTTCCGTGTCAGAAACACGCGCATCCCAGCATAGACCTTCATTGTCAGCGGCTGCAGCTTGCCACTCCTCAGAGCACCGTCCGTGTCGTAGTTCTCCGGGTTACTCTCCCAATCCGCCTCCAGCGAGCAGATCGGCTTTCGCGCGCGGCCAAACAGAACCTCAACGCTGAGCTCGTTCAGGGTCGCAGCCGCCTTCCTTGTGCAGGCCGCCATGTTCACGCAGTCGTGCCTGGCTAGGACGTTCTTGACTTCGTCCAGCGTCGGGTCGCCCAAATGAGTCCAGGCTTTGTGGCCCTTGCAGATCTCCTGGACCTGCTTCTTGTCGGGCATGGACACGCGGAGCTGTAGCAGTTTCTTGCGCAGGACGGGATCTTTGCAACGCCACATCTCATGGAGATCAATCACGAAGACCTGCTTCCACTTGAGGCTCTCGTCCGCCTGCGTGCCGCTTACTCCGGGGAGCTGCCAGAAATCGCCCGTTAGAATCAGTGCAGGCATCTTCTCGGCAGCCTCCCACATGAGCACGATCCGCTCGAAGTCCTCAGAGCTCAACTGAGACACCTCATCAATCACTATGAGATCGTACTGGTTGAGACTGTCGAGATGCTCCGTAACGTCCTTCTTGTACAAGTAGAAAGCGGCTGCACAAGTGTCAACATCCATGCTGGGATGACGAGCCCTGACTCTGGAGGCCTGCTGAGCTGTTGGCAACGCGTACAGGACGTGTCCTCCGCGTCTGACGACCTTTCTGGCGCATCTGTCCACCACTGTGGTTTTGCCCGTGCCGGGAGGTCCCAGGCCTGCGATGGGTCTGGCGTTCTTCCGAGCCTCCATGAGCATATCTTCCAGCTCATCGTCGTCGTCGACTTGCCTGGCCTTCTGCACGAAGTCGACTCTTGTCATGATGTTTTCCTCGAGGAACTTCTGCTGGGCGTTCAGTGTCAGATTGGAGAGCTCGTCATCCTCCTCGGAGCTTTGCCCGCCGAGTCCGGCGCTCTTCAGGAGAGACCGTGCTCCACGGTCGTCATCCCGGCCGAGCTCCCCTGCCAGGTATTTGCCGATCAAGAATTTCTCTGCCCGGATCTTGGCAAGGAACGTCTTCACCTTTGTCTTGCCCACAGCCTCCAGCTCGAGAACCTTCGTCATTTCGTCCTCATCGTTCCAGAAGTCTGGCCTCAGCTTCAAGGCGTATGCCAGTGGCGCGTACTGCGCCGGAACCTTATCCGCGATCTCGGGGCTTTCCAGGTCTGTCAGACTCCGAAACGGCACGTGCAAAGCAAGCCACTGAAGAAAGTAGCGCTCGTTCATGATGCTCACCATGTCGACTGCCACGAGTTTCTCGCCTTTCATGCAGACCTCGTTGGCATACGCCTCCAGCGTCGGGCCGGCAGCTTCCCGCTTGTACCGCTGCTTGATCCAATGAGCGACCTGGCCGTCGTCGTTGGATTTGCGAGCAAACTCCAGGAGGGTCATCTTGGCGTTTCGCCACGTCGAAGACATGTAGTTTGCCACTATCTTGGGTATGTGGTTGGCCGGCATCCCCGGCCACGGGGCGCGCAGCTCCACCATGGTCCCGCTGTGTCGGCACGGAGGAAAGGTCTTGGCCGCGAGATAGAGCCACATCTCAGGCTCGCAGGGCTTGTAGTCGAAGAGGACGCGCCTGGCCACGGAGAAGGCAGACGCCTCGTCCACCAACCACTCCTTCTGGAAGGCGTCACTGAACTTGGGAGTGTAGGTTGCGCAGTACTTCAGCAGCGGTCCCCTGTCGTTAGCAACCACTGCGTCCTGATGACACTTGGTGATCTCCAGCGTTTCCGGGAAGTATGCCCTATGCCCGGCATCTCTGTCTTCTTGTGTGTGATGCAAGAGGAGTTGCTGNNTCGTCCCAGGCGCTCTCGCCTTCGAAGACGGGCCAGCCTGTCTCGGCTCCCGCGGTATGCGGCCGGCCCAACATATAAGCCTTCAGAGCCACTTGGTCGTCGGCAGGCACCGTGGCCGAGATCTTGTGGTGCAAGCCAACGCGCGCGGGATTCTTCAAATAGTTCAGACTGTGGCAGTGCACGCGACCGCTGCCGTGGTACGACTGCGTCGCCTTCCTTCGCTTGCCGTCCTGATACTCCAAACGGAAGAAGAAGCCGGTCGAGGTTTCCTCGTAGGGTTCTTCCTCTGCGGTCGTCTCCGGGCCGAGCACGTGCTCGCGCCATGCCTGCTTGCCGTCCGAGTCGTGGCGCTTGTTGAAGCCTGTGTAGAAACCTCGCTCCAACTCGGTGAAGACGTGCGCATGGTGTAGCGTCTCTAAGCCGGCAAGCTCCTGTTCCATTTCGCCTTGGGCGCTGGATCCGCCCCGCCTCCGGCCGCATTTGCGCATCTCGTCAAGAATCCAGATGTGATACGGGAAGCTGGGTTCCCAAGGCGCCATCGTCTTGAAGAGTTGCGGGTGGCCGCACTGACGTTGTAGATCCAGCAGAGCTTGATGTCTTGTCCTGAAGTACAGAGGTGAGAACGTCTCGCCCTTGAGGACCAAGCGTAAGGCCAACCCTTTGCAAGCATTTTTGCCTCCGCCGATACGGGACCAGAGAGTTAAATCGTAGATGAACTGCAGCAGGTCCCAGCACTCGGAGTACCCCACCAGCGGGCCCAGCACTTTCCGCATGAAGGATCTCTTGATGGAATGCCTGCCAGCCTTGTCCTCTTCATCGTCGGACTGGTCGTTGTCGACGTCCTGCATCTGCTCCACAAAGGACTTCGACTCGCGCTCGGCAGCCTCTTCGTCCCTGCCCGCATCTCGCCCGCGGGCCAGGCGTCTTGCGTCTGTCGCACGAACGAAGGTCTCGCACATGTCTTCCCGCCAGTATAGATGCGGCCAGAGACAATTCTCCAGACCGCGCGTTTCCAGAAACTGCAGAGGCCTCTTGCGAGTTTTCTCGTCCGCGCCATTCGGGTGCTTGTCCAAGAACTTGTTGTGTCTCGTCACGAAGTCTTTGTAGGCCGACTCCTTGCACGACATCAAGTACTTGTAGGCACGTCTGGCCGAGGCTTGCGCCTCGTCGGGCAGTCCCCGCAGGCTGCTCTTGACGCTCTTCTCGCGCCAGGCGAAGCGAAGCATGGCCGTGTGCATGCGATAGCCGTATTGCGCCCGCCGGTACGGGCCTACGTCTATGTCCAGGGGACGTAGAGCGTCTATGACACTGTCCGGCAAGTCTCGCAAAGGCTCCGGGATGTCGTCGTAGGTAGGGATCTTTATCTTGCCGTCGCAACAGTTCTTGCAGGC